AGCCCAGGACAGGAAAATAATGTTTTCATGAGAGTCACTTCTATTAGCACTTTACCAACAGAGCATTTAAAACCTGTTCCACCAGGCTGGTATGAACTTTCTCCTTTGCTAGATGAGTACATGAAAGCTTATCATTGCAGTAGAAATATGCGGGTGGCAGATGAGTCGAGAGGCGGCAGGAGTGCATAAAAAGTTTAACGCTGGGTTGCTTCACCCGTCTGCCGCTGAGTGTCTGTAAATATGTGTTAAGTTTAAGTTTGCAGGTTTCAAAGTTCATGTAAGTAGTCCATCCAGAAAAGTGGCTCTTTCACGTTATTTACCTGGTGTGTTGGTAGGCGTACCTGAACAATGCCCCACCAAGCTAATTCTTCTTCGTAGGACTCCAACTTTGTATAGATTAACTTAAATAAGCAGATATAGGTAGAAGGGCCTTTTGTTCACTGGCAGGGCTGGGCCAAGACATTTTGCTGGCTGAGGCGAAGGACAAGAGGATGCTCTCTCCTCGTTTCACCTACAGAAGCCAGCTGGATGGGCAGCTGAATTTTATTTCAACAGTAATGATAGGACGGCTATTTCTCTTCCCTTGAAGAAATTGAAATTGTGAAAGATTGTGCATACCTTGACTCAATCATCAATACAGATGCAGACTGCAGCCAAGAAATACCAAGAAGACCGAGACTTGGAAGGGCAGCCATGAAGGATCATCAAGGGTGTGGAGGTTTCATTGGAGACTAAGGCTAAGATCACATAATTGTATTCCCAATTATTGTCTATGGATGCAAACAGTAGACGGTGAATAAAGCCGTCAGGAAGAAAATGGATGTATTAGAGACATGGTGCTGAGGAAAGCTTTGCGAATATCCTGGACCGACAGAAAGATGAACGAGTTGGTCCTAGATCAAAGCAAGCCAGCACTTTCCCTGGAAGTAAAATGATGAGACCAAGGGTGTTGTACTTCCGGCACATCATGAGAGGGCAAGACTCACCAAGAAGACAAGCTAAGGAATGTTGAAGGCAAAAGAAAATGAGGAAGACAGAACACGAGGTGCACTGACTCCATAAAGGAAGCCACAGCCTTGCACTTATAAGGGCCGAGAAAGGCTCTTAAGGACAGGGGACCTTGGAGGGATTTCATTCCGGGGTCTCCACTAGTCAGGGACACACGACAACAGCTATCATTACAGAAAGCATTAGTCCTGTACAGGTTTTGTTTTGGGTCCTAATTGTGGGCTCTTTCTCTGAAGGGCCAGACACAAGGCCCAGAGTTGGTGATGGGGCTGGTGTAGGATTCTGATTAGCACCACAGCCAGTGCTTCCCTTTGCCGCAGAACTTCAGTTGCACACAGAGCAGGGAGGCTGCCTCTTGTAGAATAATCTCCCCGATCTGAGAACACACTGGGCCTTTGGTCCAAGTGTTGTGCACTTTTAGAGGTGCTTGACCCATTTTCTAAACTGCAGGAAGTTGAGGGCTGCGTAAAGGCATTTTCCAAGTGCATTTCCTGTCTCTTTCTCCCAACTCCTTTTAACTCAGCTAGTTGTGAGGTCAGGTGCTGCTCTTTGGGCAGTGTCAGCTGCTGTTACTGATTCCATCACAGCAGTTGATGCTCAAATCATCATCATCATCATCATCATCATCATCAGAAGGAGAATAAAATCAGAACTGATAGTGCTGCTGTCCTGTGCAGGAGGAGCGTGAAACGTTGCAATTATTCTGCCCTCCCCACCCCCTGATGATACAACGTTTAGAGGTGGAGTTTCCGAATGGCCATTCCAACAACAGAGGTGTGGAAGAACAAGGAAGGCAACTACAGCTTGTCTTCTATGACTCGCTTACACTTTGTGTGGTTATTGTGGCCTTTTGTGGCTTAAAACCATTTCTGCTTCCTTCTACCCGCTAGCTTTTAACTTGTCAGCTTTCTCCACATACGTCTTCCTGCAAATTTTTGGTTTCTTCAGTGCACATGGGCTCCTTCCTACTGCTTCCTAAAAAGTGAACAGTTTTTAAAGTACGGTTGACTTTGTTTATCGGTTTGATTTGACCCAGCACTTGCCTGTCTTCTCCTTGCTATTTCCTGCAGCTTCTGATCTTCCTGCAAAAAATTCCTCCCAGAGCCTTGCCTGGATGTATTGTTTCTGTTAATTGTCAGTTTACTCTATAAAGGCCAGCTAGCTACTCGTAGAAAAGCTTTCTGTGGTTCAGGAACTTCTTCCAGGACTTGCTCCAGTTTACTTTATTTTGCTGGCAGTCCACACCAGTGCAGTAAATAGATGTCAGAAGTTTCCTTTGTTTTGTCAAGGAACAGCATACCCTCTGCTTGATTGCGACACGGAATTCTTGCTTATAATAATACATAGCATCTCCTGCATATGAGGAACACAAATTAGCAGTTCACTTTGCCTCCACTGGCTGTTTCTGTGCTCCCTCTGCTGGATTAGGAGGCACACAGTGCCCAGAAAGACCCAGAGATTGTGGAAGTGCTGTGTTTGTGTATAGGAAAGGGGCATTTTGCAAGGCATGGTTCACATCAGTGTATGAACAATACTGTAGTGTGTATCTGCAGAGCGCCAAGACTCTTCCTGTTTGTATGGAAAGAGAGACAAGCTGAAGCCCTTTCACACCAGCAGGAAATGTCTTGGGCACTTCATGCGTGCAGTCTCAGACCAACTTTCTGATTCGGAATTTGTTGCAGTTCTTCAGCACTTTCAGCGGGTAAGACATATAATCTTTGCTCATTAAGTCTAAGGCTGCAATGTGCACATTTTCTCAAGAGCAAGTTACCCTGATCACAAGATGCAATTCTGAGTGAATATGCCATCTGAGTATCTCAGGAAAATATTCACTGTAAATGAACAGGGCAGTTAATCAAGTAGCAAGTATAGGCTGGGTTGCTTAACATACGTAAAATCCATGATGATCAAAAATAGGCTTTGTGGAGGGAGGGAATCACCTTGATAGATGGAGAAAAGGGATCACCTTTCAAATGTTGGAAGCTCTAGTAGTACAGTATTCAAATATTCCAAAAAAAAAAAATTAAACAGTGAACTATGATAAAGTTTACTTAAAATATAATATAATGTTTATATTTGAAGTTCACAGCTGTGTACAGGTAATTCAGTATTCATCCACAGGTTTAAAATCTGGCCAGTTAGACACTAAATCATTAACCTGCAGCTATGTACCCTTGCTCATGAAAATGCAGTGCTTACTGTCTCTACTGAACTGTGTAACAATTATGCTCCAACAGACCCTTTGGTTCCCTCAGCCTCCAAAAGAGATCATTTCTGTTGAGATTAGCAGGGGGCGCATTTCATATTGACAAAGTTTGGGGTTCCAGATGCACAGTGCTTTTTGAGGTGGACAGGCTGACAGATATTCTTCCCTTAGATCTTGAGAGCAACTCTCCATCAGATTAATTTTGTGTGGCTTGGTGGTTGGGAGACTTAATTCCTGAGCAAAGGATTTGCAGTTCAAGGTTTGCTGTGTGTGTTAGAGACAGTGTGATGTATGCCTCTCTCCTTTATTGCCTGTCTGACCTGTTGGTCTTTACGCATAGCAGCAAGCTTGCAAAACTCTCTTTATGCTTTGCTGTGGAATCAGTGTTTGTTGCTTGATTTGGGCAGGATGCACCCAGAAGGCAAAATAAGTATAGAACAGGGAGCAAGCTCAGGGTATCTGAGAAACGCTCCAGGGATATGATTATTATTTGGGGTGCAGGAAGTCCTGGGCTCATACCCTGAGCATGCGTGTTGAACGTCAATGGCCACAGCTGTGCCTTTGGGAAGCGGCCTTAACTCATCAGGACAATGCATAAAAGCCCTGGCTTCAGTGCCAGGTAGAGATGTCAGGTAGAGATGTCAGGCAGCAGCATGGGAGAAGACTTGCCTTGGCTCTTGATGGCTGCTGTGGGCCTAGAGAGAACATTTTGCTGTGTCGCCCAGTAGTATGGAGGGTGGCAAACAGCCGTTTAACATGAACAGACTTCAGTGTTTCTCTTCTGGGTGAGCGGCCATCAGTCTCACTCTTTCGAAGGTGGTTAGCTGCTTCCTACCTTGGAGGTCTAGTAAAGATTCCAGCATGATTTCATGTTCATTTGAAAGTTCATAAATATTTTTGTGGCATTCCCCCACTGTGACTCTTCATGCCTGTAAAAGGGACCTTGTTTAGACAGCCCATTTGGCTACTGGAACAGCACGTAGAAGACACATCACTCCTTTTATAGTATTTCTTTAATGACTAAAGAGCTTTTCCTAGAAATTGCGGTGATGTGCCAGGCTAATTTGTAAACTTGGCCTTAATCTCCCCGGGATGGCCTTTAATCTGTTAGATGCATTCATCCATTATCCTGTGTTCTTTAAAGAGGAGCATATTCAGGGTGGCCAAGGTCCATCCAAAACCATTGAGGTGCACGGAAACAATATTTGGATTGACAGTTGCCATCCCTGATGCATATAGAATCTTGGTGGAGGGGAACCAAACCTGTGGACAAAACTCATACAGAAGCAACTCCTCTCACACAACCCATATGCTGGGGGGTGGGGAGCTGGAAGAAGGGCAAAAGTGTATCTACCCGTGTAGGCAAATTTACACAGACCTCTCCATTCTCACTCAAGTTTCTCTGTGTGCTGGAGTTAGCCATCCGAGGTCCAGGCTTGCTCTCCTCATGGTTCCTACACATGAGAGACATCCATAAACCATCTTTATTACAGCATTTCATAGGGAGCATACCAACTGCGGGGCACTGATCCTTTCCTTGTCCTAACATTTAACACAATTATGGTGCCAATAATTTGCCATGCAAGAAGAGGTGGAGGAGCTCTTAGGAGCTAGTAGCAGGGAAACCATCCCAAGGGCAGTGACTGAAGGTGGGACAGAGGACTCGCGAGTGCTGAAAAAGGAATGATGTCAACGTTGCAAGACTTGGATGTGCATATATTTTATGCTGCAATGCAACTGTGGACATGTAGACTTGTGCTAATAATGTACCTATTTTTGATTATAGGAAAATAGATCCTGTTATGTGAAACTCCAAAGGGCCTAGTTCATAGCTGCTGTTGGACAAAGAGGTGCTTGTGGTACACTCAGGTAAGACCAATTTGGTTGTTGACTTTGACAGGCTACTTTCATGATTAGACTAGTTATTAAGTTGATGTATCACCTGCTGCATTCCAAGAACTCAGGGGTAAGCAAAAGCATAACTGTATCCCACAGATGCAGGTCTGTCCCCATCATGCAGCACCTTACTGGGGTAAGGTAAATAAATGAAAGCAGGAACTGGTGTTTAAATCTTGCAATAAAGCATTCGAAAGTGTTGAATGTACTGGGGTGGGCTGGCATTTGGATTCTGCTTCTGGCAGTAAAGCGAGTTGGGCCATCCCTGCACCTCTCTTTCTGTCAATAGTTAAAGAACCATCAGCCTGATTCAGTGCAGAAATAAGGAGCATTCTTTGCATGTGAGAAAGATCCTCCATTTGTGGCTCTCAGCAAACCATCGTTTCTCAGATCCAAGTATAATGGGAAATTATGTTCATTTGCAAACCACTCATGAAAGTTTCTTCTATCTTCTTATCTTTTTTCTTATCTCAGATATAATTTCAAGAGGGGTGGATGCAAAGAAAAGATTGTCTAAGGAACATAGCTACTGCTATGCTTGGTTTGTTACTATGCTTGGTTTGTTACTATGCCTGAATTAGGTCTTTGCTGGGCCTCATTCCTGTGACCTTATATGGTCCCATTGACCTTCCTTATGCTCTCTTCGCATAAGACTTATCTACTAATTTGGGGAAGATGTAAGTGGCTTGTCCATTTTGGTAGGGCAATGATCCAGGCTGTTAGGAGCGAGGCGTCCCCTCCCAAACGAGACAGGCACTTCAGCAATTATTGGAAGAGACTTTATTCCATACAGAAGTCAATGTATTCAGAAGCCTCAAAACACACACTCCAGGTGGAATGTTGACCCCTTGCTCTGCCCCCTTTCACCCAAAGCTCTGTTTATGAGCCCTTCGGGGCTGGCCTCTGGAGCGGGGAGTGCTACGGAAGTGGGCATGGTGACGCTCTTCCGATTGAGTCCCTAATTGGTCCAGCTGGTGAGTGCGTTGATGGGCCCATCCATCCACATCTCCAGGGGTGCCAAGTTCCCCTCCCCAGCCTGTTCTCCGCCGGCTACTTTCCCACAATCAGGAGTGGGAGGGGGCTCAGTGGTTGCCCTTGAAGGGCTTGGATCCAGAGCTGCTCAGGCTGGCTCACCGGGAGAGTTTGGGCAGCCAGGGCCTTGCTAGTCTCAACAACTCCAATATCAGAGTGAGAACTCTGAGCCGCAGCTGGTTCAGCTCTCCACTCCCCCTCCTCTGAGTCTGAGCCACCACTCCCACCAAAGCCCTCCATCTCTCATGCGCGCCTGGGAATCTCACCTGAGCGCATGCGCGCACGACACAGGCTAGGCACTGGTGTCCTAGACATCCTAGCCGCCATCTCTAGCCTTCCTAACACCACAGGAGTCCTTTTGGGGTTTACGTTGATTTAGAGGACCTCAGGTAACCTATCAAAAATTAAATCACAAAATGATGGTTGCATCTTAAAAACAGCACCTTGGAAGAGGGGAACTGCATTACACCAGGCCAGTCTATGGTGGTGGTGTACACTCTGTAAGATGGAGGTTCTCCAGGGTCCTGGGCAGATGTCACCTGTTGAATCACTGGTTAGCTGGATGTTTTATTTATTTATTTGTTTGTTTGTTAAAACATTTTTATGCCGCCCCATTCGCCGAAGCCTCGGGGCGGCTCACATCACTAAGTTAAAATAATTATAATATAAATTAAAAATATAAATATTAAATTAAAAATACAACAATACAGTATAAAATAAGCCGCCCTGGCCAGATAAAACCAATAATGTTAACAGTTAAAATGCCGCTTGAATAAAAAGGTCTTCGCCTGGCGCCGAAAAACAAATAACGGCGGCGCCAGGCAGACCTCTCTGGGGAGCGCATTCCATAACTTAGGCGCCACCGCAGAGAAAGCCCTCCTCCGAGTACCCACCCTCCTAATTTCCTTCATGGAGGGTTCCCGGAGAAGGGCCTCCCCCGCCGATCTCAAGGGGCGGCTGGGCATATATGGATGCAAGCGCTCCTTCAGGTAACCAGGACCCAAGCCATTTAGGGCTTTATAGGTCATCACCAACACCTTGAATTGGGCCTGGACTTCAATGGGAAGCCAGTGAAGCTGACGGAGAACTGGAGTCATGTGAACACAACGCCCAGTCCCCGTCAGCAGCCTGGCAGCTCTATTTTGAACCAGTTGAAGTATCCGGACCGTCTTCAAGGGTAGCCCCACGTAGAGCGCGTTACAGAAGTCGAGACAGGAAGTCACCAATGCATGTGTCACTGTCGCCAGGCAGTTGTACTCCAGATAGGGGCGCAGCTGGTGGATCAGCCGAAGCTGGAGGAAAGCATTCCTCGCCACTGCTGTCACCTGAGCTTCTAGTGAAAGCTCCGGGTCGAGGAGCACTCCCAAGCTGCGAACCTTGTCCCTAAGAGGGAGTGCAACCCCATTCAGAACAAGGTTCAGTTCACCCTCTCCAAAGCCCGAACCACCAACCAACAGGACCTCCGTCTTGTCTGGATTGAGCTTCAGTTTATTGGCCTTCATCCAGCCCATTACCTTGGCCAGGCACCGGTTCAGTACGGCCACTGCCTCACCTGGATTGGTGGAAAACGAGAGGTAGAGCTGGGTATCATCATGGATGTTGTACCTGGAAATGCCCAGAACTGAACCTGAAACATAGTCCATACAAAGCAGTGCTTTGTCACTGAGCTGCATTGCCTCCCCAGTGGATAGCCATTGGTAGCTTGGTGTTAAGAGCTTGATTTTGCAAGTAATGCTTGCTGCAGTGAATAAGAGAAGAGAGGGATTTCTGATCATCCAGACTAAGCTTTCTGGTCTCTTGTTTATCTGCTGATCTGTCCTTTACCTGCTTCTCGGGTCACTTATTGAGCTTTAAGAAAGAGAGGTTTTTGTAGTCAAAAGTGTTGATTTCTGAGATGAAAGAATTGCAGGCTCAGATGCAATTACAGGAAATGAAGAAGTCTGACCTCTATTTCTGTTATTACCCAAACCTCTCTCCCCCTCAGTTTGTCCCCACATTCACCTGCAATCATCAGCTGCAGCCGTAGTTGCTTACACAAATAGATGATAATCAAGCAAATGTGCTAGTTTGTTTGGAGAACTTCTAAAGCACAGCAGAAGGAGGGCCGTTCTTGCTTTGGTCTGGCTGCTTGAAAGACTCAGTCCCAGGCAGGAAAGTCAGAACAGTGTAGCAGTTAGCACGTTGGACTTGGACCAGGCAAACTTTGGTTCAGATTTCTGGTCAGCCATGAAGCTTGCAGGGTGTGACCCTTTGTCAGTCATTTACTCTGAGTATAATCTACATGAAATAGCTACTGTGAAGGTAACAAACCCAAGCATGCCGTCCAGAACTTTTTGGAACCCGGGTGCAATGCAAATATGGGTAAGATGCACATAATTAATCATCATCAATATATGGGGGTAGAATATCTCATTCTTTCTGAAAATTCTAAGGACAGAGCTTCTCTGTCTCTCCTTTCAGTGTATATTATCATGTGTTTGGCAGTTTCTGGCTTGTCAACACGTCTTCTGAATAGCATAATGGTAGACAGCAAACCTCTGTATTCCTGGAAAGTCTTCTAGTTGTCCAGAGTGTGCTTTTGCTTCTGCCTTGTTTGGAGGGGAGACTGCATGTTTTGCCACACGTCCCAAATGTGTGGCCAAGCTTTATCCATAAAATCAATGCCACCTTTGTGGAGCACAGAGCTGCAGCCAGTGTGAGGCAATCAATTGGGAGATGGTGGGACCAAGGAAAGGACGCATTTCCTGAAGGATGCTGATGAGAGTTAAATTGGCTGTTGTCCTTCACCTCCCCAACCCTCGCTGGGTTGCGGTGCAGATCAGCATTCATCCTTGATCCCCGAAGTGCCTTGTTGGCTCACAAGAGGAGATTGCTCTGTTGCGCTTCCTTTCTCCTGAACCTTTCACCCGTGCACGCTCTCTCTCTCTCTCTCTCTCGCCCCCTCCCTTTCTCATACACGCAAACATCAGGTTGCTTCCTTTGAACTGCTATATACAGTACCTTTCTTGTGGAGCATTTATTTTGGGACGCCTTGGGAATATATCCTAAAAACTGTACTTGTGACTGCTTGACTTGGCCTTTTGCATTTACCTTTGACAAGCTGCCATTTTTTAAATATCTACCCCCTGCCCCACACACTCGTTATTGTTATGTGGGGATAATGCAGTTTCCACGTCTGAGAGAGCCACTGAGAGGATGCTGAGAAAATGCCTATGAAGGGCTTTGTACATACCAGGAGTGTTATATGAAGTGTTTGCTATTTATAAGGATGTTCAGCATTATCCTAATTATTTTAGGGAGTGTATTTGGTCACTGCCTGGCCCATATAGTTGGACAGGACATACACCGATCTTTCAGTACTTGTCTTATTTGCTTATTTGTTAAATTTATAGCCCACTTTTTTCTTACAACAAACTCAAAGCAGCTTACATTGTTCTCCTGCTCTCAGTCTTACTGTCACTACAACAACCTTGCGAGGTAGGCTGGCCTGAGAGTCTGTGACTGGCCCATAGTGACCCAGTTGGTTCTGTGGCTGAGTGGGGACTTGAACCCAGATCGCCCGAGTTCCAGCCCTGTGCCCTTAACCACTACACCACCACTGTGCCACCACATCCCTCCACTACACCACACTGGTTCTCAAAACTCACAAAATATACCATATTTAGTATATAACAGAAAGATCCTTTTCTTTGTATTCGGAACTGTTTAAATTCTAATACTCCATATTCTACACGGAGAGCTCTCCAGTTTGGCACTTGGTACAAATCATGGAAACTTAAAGGTTTGGGCCTTTATCCTCCTTCCTAGAATTCGGTTTTCAATTAGCTTTGTGGAAATCTGGTTTTCAATTCAGATTGGTTACAGCTGACAGTATCAAAGGAGGCAAAATGGAAATGTGTGGTTATCTGCCTATTAATGAACAAATCAGAACGATCCTCCAC